CGACGGCGCGCGAGAAGCAACTTAAATTGTTTTGGCGTCGTTTGTTTTTTTGTTTCTTTGCTTTATTGCTTTGGCTTTGGCTGGTACAAGCGGGGTTCATTCCCACAACAAACCTGGATATGCCATCTTACCGGCTCCACTCAGGCTCAGTTGGCATGGCTTTCCAGTGACAAGTGTACTTGCGCAGACGATGAAGTGCCCAAAGCTAGATGTGTCTATGTTGCAAAAGGCGCATGAAATATGCGGCTCTGGATTCATGATACCATGCACCTGCATGGTTTTGGCATCCTTTGCTGCTTCTGCTGAGTTCTTAGACGACATTTGCTTTGTCCCAAGATCCCTCTCTGTGTCCGTGAACGGCTTCCATGTCATTCCAGTTCCTCAGAATGGCCGGTGCTTCTCTACAAGCCTGTGGTTGGCCACTCGTGCTTCAGATGCCCAGCGGTGTGACTGGCAATCAGTGCTGAGAAGTGGAACATCAATGCCAATCTCAAGAAGAACCGGTACTGTGTGTCAGACTCGATTGAAGGCAGAAGAGTCATGTGCCTTGATTGTTACCGGTAGTTTTCCTGTTGACAACCCTTCAAGTATACTTTGGGGAGTACTTTGGGGCCATGTGACTTTTCTGGGTGTACTGTTCTCATTTCACCTCTTATATATATATATATGTGCATGTCTTCCCTCCTCCCTTTCCCTCAGGAAGAACATATATAATGGCGTACCATATCGATGCATATGAACACATGAACACACTGTGTGCCATCTTTGTTGTCCTTTTCGTCAGGCTCCAAGAAGATGAGCGCTGTGATGATACAATTGCTGCAGAAGAAGGCACCACAATTTGCAACCCAAGAAGAGGTTAGCTCCTTGATCCACCGCCTTCAGAACGCAGAGCAAACAATTGACAAAGATCATTGCATTTTGGCACACTTGCTTGATGTGTCAGTGCGGATTCACCATGCAAATGGAGCAGAGGAGGTGGTGGCCGATCTGGGCACAACATCGAGGCAGGTCCACATGCGATTATTGGAGAAAGCGGATGGCGCTGGGACTTCACATGGCCATTTTGATTTGCTGTGGCCAGATGCAGAGTCCAACAAGTCCTTTTGTGAGGTATGTCCAACGGAGCACTGTGAGCCAGAGCCTTCCACCGTGGCATTTGGCTTGACTGTGCGTGGAGTGGAACTTGCCGCCGGCATCTTGGATGGGAGGAAGAACATTGAGAACAGGAATTTTGCACTTGAAGGGTCGTGGATTGCTTTGCATGTGGCAAAGTCTGACTCTCTTCAGCACATCAAGAAACAAATGCACCATCTTTTGCCAGGTGATGAGGGCCAAAGCAACCTGCAGAAAGGCCACATTGTGGGCCTCATCTTTCTTGGCAAGAGCTTGACCCTGGCAGAGTACAGGAAATCCGTTGGATGTGGAGAGGAATGCAACTTCAGTGGTTCAGGGACTTTGTCCATCCCCAAGCACGCGGAAGCATGCAGGGCCAATCCATTGGTTTTTGGTCCTGTCATCAACGTTATCAAACACCGCATCGCTTTTACTGAGAGCTTTCCAGCTAACGGCAACGTGGCAAAGTGGGGGCTATCAGATGATGCTCGGAAAAAGATTTCCCAACTGCTCAAAGACGGGAAGTACACAGAAGCTTCAAATTGGGAAGAGGGCCCGCATCCGTGGCCATTCTCATGGTTGCCAGTTGGGGCTCGCAGAGAACCAGAGGCCTGCTGTTGGGAGCAGTCGCACACACACACACATATATTTATATAGATGGCACACACGCTACATTGAATGGGGGGAATCAAGGCTTGCCAAGTTATATATATATATATATCAGTCAAAGGTAGGGAAATCAGGACTCTCCAAATCATAGCATCAAGACGGGTTGGAAAACTGTTTGCTGATATTCTCCCTGGGGGGAGAAGCAAAACACCGTGGCGCCGGCGCCAAAGCCTGTCTTGGACTTTGCTAAATGGTTTGGTAATGATTCCTTGCGCCTGTGTGTGCCATCTTAGGGCCTCAACTCATACCAGTCAAGGGTTGGTAAACAGCATCCAGACAGGGTTACAAATACAAAACGTTTTGCTGACATTCTCTGGGAGGCTGATCAACAGCCGCCGCCTGCTTTGGAAGAAAGTGGTTTGGAGGCCTTTGGCGTGGGCCAACTTTCAGTTTGTGAGTCATTGGCAATGGCATGGAGATGATTCCTTCTATATACGTGTGTGTGCCAT